TTCGAGTTATAACGAAGAAGTTATAACATGTCGAAGTTTAGCAACAAAACCGACACGTCATAGCGTGACGTAAATAGTGAATTTACGTTAGAGCGATATTTGGCATTAGAAATCTAAATGAAAGTCATATAATACGTTAAACCGAGAGCGTGCATAAAAAGAACGTCTGAATCTGACTTCGTATGAGGAAATTATGATTTTTCGAAGTTTCAGCATTAGCAGTATGCAGCCCGAAACTCGAGATTGAGGTCGAGTGATATTTAGCCAAAACTTTCTAAATGAGAATTGAAGATATCATCAATAGTAGTCCAACGATATAAATATAGACGAAAACGGAGTTCAGATGAAGGAGTTATGAATTTCGAACTGAGTTTTCCTGTCCCGGCCTACTAAAAATAATATATTAATAATATATTAAAATTAAAGTCAAAATTAGCCGACGAAGTCTAAATGAAATTTGTAGATCTGGTTTTTACCTACGCGTCGATATAAAGAACGTCAAAAACAGAGTTCGTATGCGAAAGTTATGAATTTCTAGCCGGCATCTAGGTACGCGATCGGACTGGGCATATGAGTAGAGATTTCCAGAATTATGACATTCTCTTTTGGGCGCATGTGCCAACATTATCCTATAAGCGCATCTACTAATATGTTGGGTAGAACATAGGTAGATGAGATAGTTGGTATGTGATAAAATGATGAGGTAAATGACGATGTATGTAAGATGCTTAAAGAGTAATATTGGTAGATGCACCAAATAGAGAATGCCATAATGCTAGTAGATGCGTTTGAGAATAATATTGGTAGATGCACCAAATAGAGAATGTCATAATACTAGCAGATGCGCTTATAGGATAATCTTGACAGATGTGCTTATAGGATAATATCGGCAGATGCGCCCAAAAGAGAATGTCATAAACCTGACAGTCGTGCCTCATAGTGTATGACGTAATCCTGGTAGAGGCGCTTAAAGGATGATGTTGGTAGATGCGTCTTATGTAGCAATAGATTTTGTGCCAATTCCTTAGGTCAATCCTTAGGAATGAATGAATGGCGGGTAGTTGAATTCTGAGGGTAAAATTCTAAGAAATAAAGAAGATAATGGGGATGGTTAATTGGGTTGATTGTTTGATGATTGAATATAATAATTATATTATTATGGGTTGAAAACCCTATATGTTCACCAGGATCCCAAGCCTAACCCACTTAGTTTTCTTTGCATTACATGTAATGCACAAGAGTATAAGTTGGTGGACTTGACGAGAGATTTTGGATTATAGATAAGTAGTTATAAATGACTGTTGTTATACTAGTTTTCTTGCAAGTACACATATTAGTATGTGTTAATATACATAAATATACTAGTTTTCTTGCAATTACACATATTAGTATGTGTTAATATACATAGGGTAATTCAGTCTTCAAGTGTTCTTCAAGTGCCTTCAAGTGTTCTAATCTGAAAAACCTTCATATTCATCTTTTTATCCACCATGAAACACACTTAAGGTGAGTTCATACCCCTTCATTTTCGTTTTACCCAAGTTTTAAGAAGGGGGGGTACAAGTAAACTTATGTAATAACACTAGTTGTTTTGCATGCTTAGTCTTCAAACTAAATTCAAATCCGATCCAATCTGATCCAATTACAATTCGGTTGGATCGGTTTTTATAATTCGGTTTACAAAAACATAAACATTTTAAGATGACATATAATTATAATATTACCCAATTTTATATAAGAAGTGAAAACAAATTATCTAGTTGTTATTTGAAATTTATAAACAACTACTAAGAATGTATGTTATAGTTAAATATTTTATAGATATAAAACTTTTGAGAAAAAATGCATAATAATATTTTTTTTATCGGGTGAAACGTTTTGAACCTATTTTAAAGAATAAATTACAAATTAATAAATAACTATATACATACATATATATATATATATATATATATATATATATATATATATATATATATATAAAAATAAATAGATAATAAATGTTTATTCTTTTTTTTTTGACTGGTTTGTTCTTATTTTATAAACCACAACTAATCCGAAATCCAAAATAATAATTCGGTTTTATTGATAACTAATCAAGCTGAATATCCAAACCAAATAGTCCAATCCAAATTGTTTAATTGGACAATTCAGTTTTATCTAAATAATGAATAGCCCTAATAATGATCAACCACACAAGCATGAGTATCTCAAAACGTAAACCCTCCACAAAAGCTCTTAGAATTATGCAAGTGTAACATCCCGGAATCGCAAGAGTAGAGTCGAAGGGCTAAAAGTGTAAGTTTCGGAGAGTGACTCGGCGAGTCCATGGATAGACTCGGCGAGTCAGGTCGCGACTTAGGTCGCGTATCAAGTGGCCTACTCGGCGAGTAGGTGCTGTATGGAGAAAACCCTAATTTTTGGGGTTGAGCCATATATAAAGAGCATTGTGCCCCTCCACAGCCTCCCTTATTCCCCCCTTGAGTCCCAGAAACCCTAAATTCATGGAGAGTCCCATTATTAAGCAACTTAGAGCTTGGAGAGGTGTTGGTTGAAGAAATCTTGAAGGAGAAGTGGCTTGGATCAAAGGGATTTGCTTGGATTCGATTTTCATTGCTATTGAGGCATCTTTTGGAGGTAATACTTTCGTTCTTGGGCTGTGTTTTCCTAGTTTCTCATTTTGGGGTTGTGTGGGGTGCTTGGTTGTGTGGCATCTTGATGTTTGGAGGATGGATCTGAGGTTGCTACCTCAGATCTGGAGTGGAGAAGATCTTAAGAGCATTAAAGCCCATATTCTTGTGTTGTTAATGGAGCTACCATGTCCCAAACCTTGGTTCTAAGGTGAATAAGGCCTAGATCTCTTTAGATTCACGTAAAGTTTAACACTTTACGTGATGGATGGATTGTACGAGGTTGGATCTATGTTTTGGATCAATTGCATGGCCTGAGATGCTTCTGTATGGATTCAGACCGGTGGTACTCGACGAGTCACATGGGTGGACTCGACGAGTTGCTTGAAGATGGCATGGAACTCGACGAGTTGGAAGAACAACTCGGCGAGTAGGTTGAAGATAGCCTTGGACTCACCGAGTCCATTTGGACTCGGCGAGTCTTGTCGAGGAAGTCCCAATATTTCTGGTTGAGTCGATGAATCGGTGAGTCAAGGGATGACTCGGTGAGTTGGGTGCGAGTGGACTCAGAGTTGTTGGACTCGATGAGTCTTGGGGTGACTCGGCGAGTTGGGTTGCTAATTGAGGGAAGTTCTGAGCATAAGGACTCGGCGAGTCATTGGGTTGACTCGGCAAGTAGGGTCAGTCAGGGGTTGACTTTGACTTGTCCAAGGTTGACCAGTTGTCTTCCAGGGGTATTTTGGTAATTAAGGGTATTTATTGAGTTGTATGTTTTGATGTTCAGTGGAGGAGTTCGTGTCAGAGTTCGGAGCAACGGGATCTTATCCTTTCAGCCGACAGTTTCGAGGTGAGTTATCCTCACTATATCAACAGGGTCTAAGGCACCAAGGCCGACCCTTTATTGGATTGAGATTTGGATATGGTTATTATGTTATTGTTTGATGTGTCTGCATCCTGGTAGTTGGGATGGTACATGCTAGGAGACCTTGTTAAGGTCAGTTCCCCGATATATATTTAAGTGATGCTATGCTAGTGACCGGTTAGGTCGGTAACCTGGGTAGGATAATGATATGCTATGTGATCTGTTTGTTTGGTTTGTTGGCTATGACTGTTATATGATTGTATGTTTTGTGCACATGGTTGTTTGGACTAGAGATGGGTTGAGGCGGGTCCTGCTTTGTGTTGTAGGCCAAGATACCCAGGGCGGACCGGTTATTCCGAAGGCCCAGCGAGCGGTCCGGATAGGCTGTAGGCCCCACGAGGGCGGACCAGACGTGCCGAGGCTCGGAGAGTGGACCAGGCCGACTGAAGGCCCGATGCGGACGGACCAGTCACACTGTAGACTCAGAGAGTGGACCAGGTGGGTTGAAGGCCCGATGCGGGCGGACCAACCCCACTGTAGACTCGAAGGACATGACTAGACCTGGAGGATGGATCCGGTGGACTGAAGGCCCGATATGGCGGACCAGTCACACAGTAGACCCGATATGCATGGCTGTTCTATGTTCTGTTATGTTATGTATGTTTTATATGTTTTGGATCGGAAGGTCGCAGCCTGGAAGGGCGTATACGTGGTTGGTATTTGGGGGGTATCTCACTAAGCTTTCGGGCTTACAGTTGTGGTTTAATGTTTTTCAGGTTCTTCAGGAGACCGTGGCAAGGCGAAGGCGCGATCGTACTGCTCCTCATGATTTTGTAGCAATGTGATTCTGGGAATACTCTAAATGATTTGTATTGAAAACCTTTTTGTAAACAGTTTAGTGAAAAATCAGGTTGTTTTGAAAAATTTAAATTGGTTGTATTTTTCGGATGTTACAAGTAAGTTCCTCCACTGCAAAACCAACACAAATGGTTGCTTTTATACCAAATGATATATTTTTTTTCTTTGAACAGCTAAAATAAACTATACCAAATGAGATTAATGTTCCTATATGTTAGATTTTAGGTTTGGTTCCATTGGATCGATAGTTAGAGATTAATGTTCCTATATGTTAGATTTTAGGTTTGGTTCCATTTGATCGATAGTTAGTAAGAGCATCTCTAGTGGGAGCTTTTTTATAGCTTATTACTATGCACTTTTTTTCTTAGACCATTTATTATCATTAGAATAGATAACTTTTTGCTTTTATATTTTGAGCACTTAATATATATTAAGTGGTCAATTTACTTTCACAACTAATACATTTTACCCCTTATACATTAATCATATTTCAATTTACCTCTTTAATTTTAATTTTGTTTTAAATATTTTTTATTGAGAAAATGACAAAAATAGCCAATTATACTAATTTCATTACAAAAATAGCTAAAAAAAATCGAAATTGCAAAAATAGCCCTCAATTTCGCAGATGGAATTGCCCCATCTGCGAAATGACCATTCCATCTGCGAATGTACAAGCTGCTAAAGCACAACTGTGCTTTAGCAGCTTGTACATTCGCAAGTGTTTTTTTTTCTGTATATATATTGAAAATGTAGGGTAAAATCGTAGATGGAATAGCCCCATCTGCGATTTACTCTCATTCCATCTGCGAAATTGTGATTTTTTTTTGTTTTTTTAGTTTGACTATGAAATCAATTGGTTTGACTACGAAATCATGTTGCTATATGAAAAGTTTTTTTAGTTTGACTATGAAATCAATCAGGTTGTACTTTACCGAAATACTGAGGAAAACTTTTTATATAGCAACATGATTTCGTAGTCAAACCAATTGATTGATTTCATAATCAAACTATAAAAAAAAAAAAAAATCACAATTTCGCAGATGGAATGAGAGTAAATCGAAAATGGGGCTATTCCATCTGCGATTTTACCCTATACTTTCAATATATATACAGAAAAAAAACACCTGCGAATGTACAACCTGCTAAAGCACAGTTGTGCTTTAGTAGCTTGTACATTCGCAGATGGAATGGTCATTTCGCTGATGAGTCAATTCCATCTGCGAAATTGAAGGTTATTTTTGCAATTTCGATTTTTTTTGGCTATTTTTGTAATGTAATTAGTATAATTGGCTATTTTTATCATTTTCTCTTTTTTATTTCTTTACTCATTAATTATTTCTATTAACTATTTAATAACATCTTATTTATTATTATAACTTTTATGACGATAATATATTATTTTTAATGTTTTTAAAATATTATTTGTGTTTAAAATAGACTAATTAAATGAGGAAGTTTTATAAAACATTTTAGAAAGATGGGGTAAGTTAGTTAAATTTATGAAAAAAAAACTATGTAAATAAGTTTAACCATTGAAGCATTCATTTATTTAGAGTTCAAAATTAAAAAAATATGATTTATCAAGTTATAACTAACTTAACCATCCAAGATGGGCTAATACTATCCACACTACAGGATTCTTGGTCATGTTGTCTCGTTTTCAAACATGCTAACACTTACACCTTTATGCATTTGTTCCTCACAATTATTATAAGGTGTCATAATGATATTGATATCATTTCAATCTTATCACTCATTACTTGTCCAAGACCCATTATGTTCAAATTACATTGTTAGTAATATTTTTTCATAGCTTCTTGATAGTTAATACATATGTACAATATACACTATAATACTCTCAACATATTCTTCATATGAAAAATGTTTTTTCAAAGCTTCTTGATGGTTAATAGTTTATAGATAAAAAAAAGGAGGAAAGCTTCTTTCCGGAAATAATTATTTTATATTTATTTAATATTCGAAAAGCAAAAACTCTTTATTTCAATATTTTCAAAAAGTAGAAAACTCTTTATTTCAATATTCTAAATTGTACAACATAATAATGAAAACATAACAAATTTGTTAGCTCTTTTAAAAACAAATAATAACGAAAACTAAACATTTATTAACGTTTAGAGATAACGATTACACACATAAAAAATATATATAAATGAATTAATGTCATTAGATTATATTCATCAAATAATGCAATTAAAATTAAAATTTTGTAATAAAACAAAACAACAATTAATTAAAAATTAAAACTAAATCATATTTCCTCTCGTTAGCTGTCATCCGTGAAAATATTCCAAACTCGTGGCTGTGACGCTATACACCACAGAGAAGTCTCTAGGTAACTGCACCCGATGGCATATTCGTAATATTTTTCAAAACTAGTGGCTGATAACAATCTCAAACTCTTATATATACCTTCATATCTCTGCCGTCTATCAACATTACGTTCACGATAACCCTAAAAATCAAAGGAAAGAACACGCCTCTTCTTTGATATTCATCGTCGATCGTTTTATTCTTTTCTTCATCAAGGTAAGCGTGTTGTTTTGATTCTCTTTCTTGTTCTTGGTTTGAGATTCGCGTTTTGTGTTCTTTTCATTGATGTTTTAAGGGTTTTACTGCAGATCGGAGATTTGAATTTTCGTTCAAGAGGAGTCGTACAACAACAAAATATATATTGTAAGTTCAAACCTCTCTCGTTTTAGATCGTAGTTGTTTGATCTTGTCTGTGTTTATATGAATGTATATACATAAGCACTCGTGTACGCATGTCTAGGGTTTTCAATTTCGTTATGATTTATCAGAAGTTTTTGAGGCTTGATTTAGAATCCTTTTTGTAACAGACGAAGAAACTTTCTCTTTAGATCTTAAATATAGTTTTGTTTGTTAACCCTTTTACACGTTTTTTGGTTTTATCATTAGCTCAACCGATTCGAATGATTGCTCTGGGTCTTTTACTTTTCTTTTTTTGCTTTATTTGTTAATAATTGTGTTCTTGTTTGAACTTTGAAGTTCCTTTACTTTTAAATATTACTGTTCAATTAAACAAATAAAACAAGTTGATTAGCTGTCGATTGGTGTGTTTAACGTTACTCTCTTTTAAATCTGACAAGTAAAACAAATTCGGCTTTTATGATTCTTTTAGCCTGTAGCCATACTCTCAACAAATTAGATCATGAATGTGAACTCCAAAAGATTAAACGCTGATTTATGTTCTTATAAACTTTGACACGATAATGAACTACAAAACATTAATCGTTGATTTTAACTTTTTTTTTTTGTAGAATGTAACATCATAATCTTGCTTTTGTCATTATTCGTTCATTCAACCATTCTTTTCATTTGTCATCATCTTTCCATATAAACCACTACTTTTAAACATCTTTCTTTGTTGGTTTAACTGATCTTTCAACATCGTTTGATTTACAGGACAAAACTGAATGTTCTAATGGAAACCAAAGGTGGGAAAAAGTCTAGTAGTAGTAGTAGTAGTAAAGCGTTTTATGAAGCTCCCCTAGGATACAGCATTGAAGACGTTCGCCCAAACGGAGGAATCAAGAAATTCAGATCTGCTGCTTACTCCAACGTAAGCACAATACCCAATTCCATTCCTTCCTTCATGATTCCATTCTTTCTATCAATGAATATGATACTAATCATTTTCTTTTTTCTTTTTACAGTGCGCTCGCAAACCATCCTGATATTCCCTAAATCGCTTTCCCCTTCACGTCACTTGACGTGCTTTTAATTTTACTGCTTTCAAATTAGTTTAGAATTAGTAAAAAAACCCTCTTCCCTTTTCTTCTTTTCTCATCTTTCTCATCTTCTTGCTCAAATGGCGCAACAAGTTTCTGCAATCGGTTTTGAAGGTTACGAAAAAAGACTCGAACTAACATTCTTCGAGCCCAGCATCTTTTCCGACCCGAATGGTCAAGGTCTTCGGGTCCTCTCCAAGACCCAAATCGACGAAATTTTAACCCCAGCTGAATGCACAATCGTGTCTTCTCTCTCCAACGACCACGTTGACTCTTACGTTCTCTCGGAATCGAGTCTTTTCATTTTCCCATACAAACTCGTAATCAAAACATGTGGGACCACCAAGCTTTTGTTGTCGATTCCAGCTATTCTGAAGCTAGCGGCGACACTCTCTCTCACTGTCCGATCAGTGAGATATACACGTGGCAGTTTTATATTCCCCGGAGCTCAATCTTTCCCACATAGAAGCTTCACCGAAGAAGTTTCAGTTCTCGATTCCCATTTTGAGAAACTCGGGTTATCAAGCAAAGCTTATGCAATGGGTGCTTTTGACAAGCCTAACAAGTGGTACGTTTATTCCGCTTTTGCCAATTCCGATTCCGGAGTTGCTGATTCTGATTCCGGTGACGTGTACACGCTCGAGATGTGCATGACGACTCTAGACCGTGAAAAAGCTTCTGTTTTTTACAAAACCGAGTGGAGTTCTGCGGAAACAATGACGAACGATTCCGGTATCCGTTCGATTCTCCCAAACTCTGGAATCTGCGACTTTGAATTCGACCCGTGTGGGTACTCCATGAATGGAATTGAGGATTCTGCTGTTTCTACTATTCATGTGACTCCAGAAGATGGGTTTAGTTACGCGAGCTTTGAGGCTGTTGGGTATGACTTGAAGGAGGTTGGATTGGAAAGCCTTGTGAGAAGGGTGTTGGATTGTTTTGAGCCGGGTGAGTTTTCGGTTGCTGTTGGTGGTGGAATTGGAAACGGAATTGGAAGCGGAATTGAGATTGAAGGGTATGGAGTGGAAGAAAAAAGTTATGAAGAAATTGGTGGTGGAGAATCGATTGTGTATCTGAAGTTTGTGAAGGAAGGTGGGAGCTGCTGTGGGTCTCCGAGGTCTGTGTTGAAAAGCGGAGGGTGGAAAGAGAAGGAGAATGAAGAAAAGGAGTATGAGTAGGTTTAAATAAGATATATTTAATTAAATAAATGCCATGTTGTTATAAACATGGTTTTGTTATGGATTTTTTTTTTTTTTGGTTTTGTGTTTACGTTTGGTGTTATGACTATTTGGTATTATCAAAGATGATATAGATGCTGTGCATCATTTGGTTTTTAATTTGGTTGCTATTTAGTATTTTTCTGTTGATTTTTTTTTTGTTTTTGATGGAAGAATGTTTGATGCTTTCATTCAACTTGAAATTTTAGTTGAATGTAAATACTAAATACATGTTAAAAGATTATCAACGTCAGAAGTTTTTTTTAATCAATATAAGTATTTAAGTACTTTAAATTGTTTCTTTCAGAAGAATATTGAAATAAGATTGTTCAAAAAGTTATTGGAAAACCTATTTTTATCTGTAAAATTAAAAATAATGTTTTTTTTGTTATATAAATGTTGGAAATATTGAAATCCTGTCAATTTCTCTACCCCATTATAAATATCACTACTATGAACAGCATAAATATTCTATATTTCTATTGTCTCATTTCATTAGATTGAGTCAATTTGATACGTCTTATTAATTTTGGAGAATGATACAATAAGTAGTATTCGCAAGTGGTCAAAAGTTCTATGTAAGTTGAATAAAAGCGATTTATTTGACGAGTGTAGTCATAAAGTGATAAAGACCAGGTTTATGTCACGGCTTTTATTAAAACATATCATACTTCTTACTTCTTTTATTCATTATCCTAAAGTTTTATTATTATGCATTGATAAAAGCATGTATCATTTGATTTTAATTTGTTATAATGTGTCCTTTTTATTGTTTTTATAATGATGGTAAATCTCACACGAGTTATAACACAATATATCGCAAACCATGTGAACAAACAAACGATATCTATAGAAGAGAGAATTGGCCACCAAAGAGTTAGAGAACTTAAAAGCTCTAAAAGTAAAACATGTGAAAACTCATTTGAAATGTTTTTCATATATTTCACATATGTGGGTCGATTTTATTATGAATTTGCATAGTGAGCGCCACCTCTCATGTCAACTTCAAGACATGTTAAATTGGAACCATATTTATGATGAACAAGCTAGTTACAGAAAAACATTATATTGAACAAAATAGCAATGGTTGGATTTTGTAAAAAAGATTTAACCTTTCATATTGAATACTAACCATATCTATTTTGTGGATGATACACTAATGTCTTTAGCTAACCACATTTTGTAGTAGAACATGACAAAGACGTGTCACATACATCGTATCTAAACATATGTTGATTCGTACATTTATCTTCATTTTAGTTGTAAACAATCTCATTTTTATTAGACTTTTAAAGAACTTAGTCATATCGCTCTCTGATGTGACCTCACATCTAACTCACATAGATTGACCAATCTAAAACAATCTTTTGTATTCCACTATGTAAAATATCAATTTATTAAGAATAAATATTCATCCACAAATCATCATTTGGAAGACACAAAAATGAATATTATAGGAGCGATAAGACATTTATGTTTGTTACTTTGAATCTTTCCCAACAAGTTTTCCTATTAAACCTACACAACAAGATCTCCAACGTTGTTATGTTAGGTTTCCGCTAGGTAGCAGCTCATGTGTTTGCTTTAAGATTATTTCCCTCGATGTAATATTATTTGCTCTCTATTATTGCCTTTTGTCAAAGGATTTAGGGATGTTATTCGGTCCAAAAATTGATCGAACCGAACCGGAATTAAAAAGAAAACCATAAACTAAGAATCGAAAACTATAAACGATTACCACTATTCGGTTCCAACCAGTTCGGTTCTAGTTGCGGTTTGGTTATACTAAGAAAATGTGTTATCTAAAAAGGTGTTCGGAAACGAAACCGGACCAGAACCGAAAAAACTTAAAATCGAATAAAACCAATTTATAGAACTGTGAACCGAACCGAATAACTTAATTGGTCCTTCTTCGGTTCCGATTCCAGTCCAAATCCGGTTTTTGTTCGATTTTTCGGTCCAAACGCTCAACCATGTTTTCCTATCACTTTATATAGTTGTTGGAAATGATTTTATTTTCAATAAGTCTCTTATTGTATTATGTTTACTCTTGAGTCCTAACTTGTCTCAACTTGCTATTGTATAGTATTTAATTACGTGCTCTAGTAAGAGAATGCATTCTATCATAATGTATACAAATGACAATGATATGTTTAGGCCATAAATGAGTATCTTCTTAGAAAGATTTTAAGCCACTCTAACTTACTTAGTAACTTTATCTGAAACTATAAATTCTTCTTTCATTATAGAACGATTTTTCATAATTTGCTTTAATTATGATTTCTAAGAGGTAGTTGCTTCTTCACCAAGTGTAAATACATAACCACTTATGGACTTACCCTTAAAAGTATTGGAAAACTAGTTTACATAATAATATCCCTCTAGGTCACAATGACACCTCATGTAATGCAACCCAGTTCCCATTATCAAATGAAAAGTGTAACATCAGCTACTCACACATTCTCTATATCAAATGAAAAGTGTAACATTTTATTGGTTTGGTTTATAACACCCCAATCGGTTCCCATTATAAGCATAGCCCACATATAAACATATAATGACAGAGATATTTTTATATTTGACATAAACATATCTATCATACTCATTTATTCTAAAACAATTAGATAAAAGTGTTATCAGATTTTTTATGTCATTGCTTTGGAGGACATAATCATTACATATCTAATACTTACGACAACAATATACAATCATGAAACTTTAAGCCACAAATCTCAACAATTTGGCTGTAAATTGTACATACATAAATCTTGAGGTATGTTAAAATAATTTTTTTTATTTAAATCTTTAGAAACTAAGATATATTTGGAAATAATAATCTTGTTATATAGCAATAGAAAAATGTAACTTATTGAGGAAAATAAGAATAATAATACAAGTGGTGGTGAAGAAAAAGAACAATTAATGAAACAATTGAGAAGGAAAATTGGAGAAGGGATATGATGGCCACCATGGTCTAATGGACAACAGGTAAGGTGGGATCCCAATAAATGTCGTAATGGATTGGAACAAGTGACGAGGCTACATATGAACAAGGTAGGTCACTTGACCGATCTTATATATTTTTTTATTTATTATAATAGCTTATATATAATTAAAATGGTGTGACCTATCTTAATCATTTTAATTGAACTATCTTAATTTTTTTTTTTGGTAAAGAGAGAGTATAAATCATATTTTAGGACATCATATTTTATATTTTAATAGCCCAAATTTTTTGAAGGTATAATACAATATGTATAGTCCAATAAACAAAAGCATGAATTGCTTGATGGTTCTTGGTTTACGAGAATTGATTATGCTGACAAGTCCTAGCATTAGTATGAGTTCGTTGACCGCGTAAGGGTGATCCATCTTGATGACGAATTCCACGATAACAACTTAGAGAGGCTTTTCACCCACATGCGGGTCATCCTTCTCTAACCGATTCGCTAGCCTCTCAAATCCCATTTTTGAATCGGGGTGAAGACGATGGAATTCCCCACTTTCTAATGCAATACGACAAAGCTTAGGGAGTCAGCTTGATATGATGTCACGAAAAACGGCTGCTCATTTCGTATTTTAAAGAAAGTCCAGACAGGCAAGCATTTGTCAAAGCCCAGAAAGCCACCAACCATCAAAGCGTTAACCGTATCCTAACCTGATTCAGAAACAGAATGTGACGGAGGCCTAGTTGTAAGAACAAATCCTCGCTTCGTAGCCAGCCGGTACGAACTAAATTAAAAAATATAAAAGAAACAAACGTGAATCAACATCACGTTTCACAACACATGCTTGGCGTATCGGTCCTTCAAAACCGTTGATCAAATTGTGCCTATTTGGTGTCATATATTGAAACAAATAATTCTTAGAAAATATATAATAATGATATAATTGTCAAAATATATCAATATATAAGATATCGTCGGGTATAATTGTAAGAAATTTAAATCATTTTTTTCTTATACGACCCTACCCGATCCGGAACTACAAGTCGTATTTTTTGATATTTTTCATTTTCTATCGATATCATTTAAATAGTGAACCGTATGATTTTACTTTCTAGACTCGTCACTAATTGGAACCCATAAAAAAGATAATAATAATAATAATTATTATTATTATTATTTTGGGATAAGTTTGTGTTTCAATAGATGCATTTGTAATTTTATAACAACTGAACTATTATATTTATTAAAAATATTATACAATAACAAAATTTGATGGTATGAATTATTATGCTTTCTGATTAATATTTTTGCTATAGAAATACAGATATAATCTTAAGAAATATGGTGGTCAAATACTTAAGATATACACATAGAAATATAAAATAAAAAAACTTCTAACAAAATTACAAAAATTAAGTATTCTAAAAGTTTAACAAACTAATTAATATTGTAATTTATGAAAAGAAAAAAATGGAGAACGAGAAATTGAATAAAACATTATTCTAAACGAGTACATTACACCAATAGTCCCTATGGTTTGAGATAATTTGCATGTTTGGTCTTTAATTTATTTTTTAATTCGTAAAGTTCTTATTATTTGTTATTGTTGTGCATTTGGTCTCTGTCTTATCTAAAAATACTATTATGCTATTGATTTTTTAATTTATTTAAATAAACACACCTCAACCTCACTTGTATCTTACATTACATTACCTTACATACCCCATCTTATTTAATTAAATTAAAAAATTAATGATAAAATAGTCGTTTTGGGTAAGACAACGACCAAACATGCAATAAAAACAAACTATAAAAACCTTCCGAGTTAAAAAATAAGTTAGAGACCAAACATATAAATTATCTCAAACCATAAAAACCATTCTTGTAATTTACTCTTTTTAATATTTTTAAAATAATATATACGATTTATGTACTTTGCGCTTGCAAAGAAGACAAGATTGGAGCAATCCATCCGAGATCTGTTTTTGTCTTGTTTCCCTTTAATTCCATATA